ATGTGCTCATCCCCTAAATACAATATCCATACAAATTATGCAGTTGTATAGATTCCCGACTCTTTATGAATTTTTTAAAAATGGATTAGATATCCAGCAGAAGTTTATAGTGTTTTAAGAGTGCTTTGCATCATGTTGATGTATTGATTTTAAATATAAATCCACATTAATCTGAAGTAATTGACTATCTACATTAATAATAATGTTCAATTTTCATGAGGGAAGAGAGTGGTTCTTGTGCCAAGACAAATGAAATTTATTACTAGAGACTACAGAGGTAGAGATGAAAATCATTACTAAAAAGTGTGAAGAGGCTTTTGACAGTATCTGTTAAAGTTGCTCTTGGTAACTCTTGAAGAAAAACTGGGTTTATTAAAAAAATTTACAAGCAAGTGAGAACATAAAAGGGCAGTTTGGTTGGCATCACAACCAAATTTACTTCAAATGTAATTATCAAGATACTTTTTGGTTAACATAACTCTCTACTGTGCTTTCTCCCCTGTATTTTTAAAAAGCACACCACCAAGAGTTACTGTTTTAAACACAGCTGTCAAAATCCTGAGCTAAGCTTTCTAAAGCTTCCAGCTGTCAGAAGATTAGCAGTCATTTGTATGCCTAGAAACTCACAGGATTTTTTTAAACATTTTTTACTACTATTTTTTACTTTACTGCTATCTTTAGGGTTTTACCTCCACAAAGAAAACTGTATAACATTGAATGGGTTGTATTTGAATAATGAAGTGCTGAATCCATCATGCCAGGATTTTATGCTGTTAATTAAATGTGGCTCCAATTCATCAATGCGTTGTTATGTGCTTTGCTGAATGGGAATCTAAACTCTTATTATATGAGTTAACTTACTTATGGCCCTATTCTGGTTTTGGCAGGGACAGAGTTAATTTTCCTCATAGTAGCTGGTATGGGGCTGTGTTTTGGATTTCTGCTGAAAACAGTGTTGACAACACAGGGCTGTTTTCGTTACTGCTGAGCAGCGCTTACACAGAGCCAAGGCCTTTTCTGCTTCTCCCACCACCCCACCAGCGAGCAGGATGGGGGGGCACAAAAAGTTGGGAGGGGACACAGCTGGGACAGCTGACCCCAACTGACCAGAGGGATATTCCAGACCATATGACGTCATGCTCAGCACATAAAGCTGGGGGAAGGAGAAGGAAGGGGGGACGTTCAGAGTGATAGCGTTTGTCTTCCCAAGTCACCGTTAGGTGTGATGAAGCCCGGCTTTCCTGGAGATGGCTGAACACCTCTCTGCCGATGGGAAGCGGTGAATGAATTCCTTGTTTTGCTTTGCTTACATGCATGGCTTTTGCTTTATCTATTAAACTGTCTTTTATCTCAACCCACGAGTTTTCTCACTTTTACCCTTCCAATTTTCTCCCCCATCCCACTGCAGTGGGGGGGGGAGTGAGCGAGCGGCTGGGTGGTGCTTAGTTGCCAGCTGGGATTAAACCTTGACAGGCCCTAATTTTTAGCTCATACGTGTGTAAAATTCAACACATGTAAATTCTTCATAGAAGAATCAGATACTTCCAACTTAGTGTTATGTTTCAAAATATGCTTCTAAATTTTGTCCATAAAACAGCATATGGTTACTATTCTATGAAAATGTATTTTCTGTTGAAAGGAAAGCTTTGGATGGGATGTTGCCGTGGTGTGGCATCATTTATCCCAATGATGGTCGTGATTACATTTTGAGGATGATAAACCAGAATAACCTCAATATAAACTTGACAAATGTGAGCTTCAGTTAGATAAAATCTCAGATAAACTCTTTTGTCTCCTTCCTTCCAAGAAAAGAGAACAGTACTACCTTTTTAAACCGAGTAATTACATCATACCATTAGAGAAATCAATCATATTTGGGTTTTAGTGTTCTTTACCAGAACTGACGAGATCTACAAAAACATTTTAACCAACTGATGTCTTCTCCAGCATGTATTTCTATGTGACTATTTTAAAACTGAGTGACTCAAGCCATACCTCACTGAATAGCACTTCTGTATGAAACACTGTTGTCTCTGCTGGTTCAAACATTTTTCAGTACAACTTAACTAGGTTTACGCTTCACTGCACAGGGATCTAATTTTATTGGCATAGCTATCAAAACTTGTGAGTAACTAGCCATAACTAGGAGCCAGATCATCTATAAATGTCAGTGGGAAAAGAGACCTGAGAAAAGTAAATCATTAGTAACAAGAGGGAGAAAAACAGGTGATGAGCATTCAGAATTAGTTTTCTGAAGTCAGCTTTGGAAACCTCTCTACACAGCCAGATCATTGTAGAATGTTTTTCATGATTTCCAGTTTATACTCTAAAATCTCATCTATGATGTTAAAAAAGTGGTCTGGAGCCCTAAAGCTGTGAAGAATACTTACAGACAATAAATTAAGTGTTAACAGAGAAAACCATGCCTGGCTGAAAATTCAAACAGAAACAACAGCTATAGGAAAGTAAAGCTCAATTTAAATAAATTAATAAATTATGTTTTTCAGCCTACAGGGATCCTTTGTGGCTCCAAGAGATTATTCTGAATGTTCCATTTTCCTTCCTTTTATTTCATAACATTGTCAAGCAAGGAGCAACGGGAAAGATGCTTCCAGCAAACGCTGCTTTGTAAGAATGTGCTGCTTGCCCAGCATTTGAGAAAGAGATTGAAGGTACATCCTCTGGAAGGCTTCAGCATGCAGAACACAGTGAAGTCTCACCTAAACATGGTGACTGTTCTGCTGTGCCAGTGATGACTACTCTGAAGCCCACCAAAATCAAAGGAAATTTTGTTACTGACTTAATAGGTTTTGGATCAAGCCCGAAGCAATCAGTTCATGTATATACAAATGCACATTAGTATATCCAAAGAAGTATAGGGACCCATCATAAATATTGTTTCTAAAGCTGGTGAATTGTTTTTTCACCAGTGTGACTGAGAAATGATAAAGCGAGAGAGATTTATCCTTTTAGGACCTGCTACTACATCTATTAAAGTTAATGTCCTGGGTACAGTAAGGAAAACTGTATTTGGACATGGGAAAATTTGCAGGGAAATGACAGACGAACAGAAGTAATTAATATCTAGCAGAAAGGTTTAGGACACTCCCCTGGTGACTACTTCATGATGGAGACCTTTGGTCTTCCTTTGTAGACCGCTGTGAGCCTGGGTTGGGGGTTGTGCAGCTTTCACGGTCATCTGTAATTCATCTATCTGGGCAGTTACAGGTAAATCCCAGTTAAATTTGGATTTGAATTTGTTTGTAGCCCAGTTAACAAGGAGTTTATTTTATTCTGGTTTATGTCCATATGACCCACATTCACGGGCAGGATTAGCTGAGGTAGGGATGGCTGGCTGGGGTCTTGGCTGCCAGAATGGGAAGTTGATCCTGGTCCATGGTTAGTGTGTCCTTGCTGGCTGGGTAAATTACTGCCCAACTGTTCACTTAATTTTCTTCCTAGAAGAAAGCATTTTGTGAATCATCTCCAAAATGGAATGGTAATTTCTCCCCACTGTAATCTAGTAAGGGAGAAAAGACTATGAAGAATAGGGTAGATATAAAAAAAAAGTTTCTGGGCATTATCCAGAATCCTACAGGTAGTCCTGATACCAGCTGCACCAAAACTGTCCTGCTACATTCTAACAGAGGATGGGTGAATAAAGAATCAAAAGAATCAAGAGCAATAGTGAATTATGAATTTTTCTGTTTCTTATTACAACATTCAACATTAAAGTCACCATTCTACCTTTCTACCTCTACACTCAAAGGCATTGTTGAATGTAGCATTTGAGAATGCATTAAAGGATATTGCAGAAGTAATTTAATCTCTATAATACTTTTTGAAATATAATTTGATTTAAGAGGAGGAATGCAGAAAATAGTTACATCACAGGACAGGATCTTCTGAGCACTATCTGCATACACACAGCTCAGAAATAAATCCAGAGCAGAGGAATCTTTTACCAAAGTCTGTATTTTTTTTTTTCCAGACAGCTGCATCTAATGGCTAGAAGTGCTTAAATTATTATATGTTATCAAAAACTTTTGCTCCTTTTCCAAAAGATTTCTAAATATAAAAATGTTAATTTATCTGTGCCTGTGCTTTAAGAGTACATGCTTTGGGACATAATATGCAAATATTTATGAATGTGTTTGCCATGAGCCTCACACTTATCCAGCATGTACAACAGCTGCTCAAGTCAGTATGCAGGCAATGCTCTTTCCATATAGTGAAATCTAAGTAGGCACGGACAGAAGAAGGTAGGAGGTAGAGGAGCAGCTGAACATTCATTAGTACTGCTCAGGTAGCAGCTACATGACCCTAAAGCCCCACCTAAAGCCCAGTCATGGCTTTGAATGTAAAGCTCTGATAATGTACAAATTTCTACTAGCCATGTACTACTGACCAGAGTGGCACAATATTAATGTGCAAGAATATATGAAAATTCAAAAAGTTTAAGAGTATTAATATATCAAACCTCGACACACTCTTGTGAAAACTGAGGCAGAATGACTCACAGTTTGATCAAATTGCGAAAAATAAAAATCTAACTCAAGAAAGACCACAGCTACACACTGCTCTTGTCTCAGCTCCCTCACTTCCAAGATGCCAGTGATGCTTCACTCACCATCTAGACAGTTTCTCCAGTACCAGCTGAATATTTCACGAGGGAAAAACTGATGGAAAATTCTTCCAGAGCTGAAGGTATTTTTCTGAGGGTATTTTGGTCTGTATATTTGTTGCTTCACAACTGCAAAAAAATATTCAAGCATCGGAGATGCAACGGGAGCTACGGACTGGCTGAGCCTGAATCAGCTTCCTAATGTGGACCCTGGCACTGAGTACAAACACGGAAACCTCCAACCACGACACTATTAACATTGGTGGTGAGGAACTGAAGTCTGGGGCTTGGGCCTTGACAATTCTGCCCCAGGCTGGCAGAAAAAGAGGGACGGCGAACTGCAAGCCAGTTTGTACATCAGTCCCATATTCAAGGCATGGCCAGGTCATCAAGGTTGTGGGTGGGCATCCGGGCATCCCTGAGCGTCAGCTGTCCGGCAGAAGGTCTCCATACCAAGGCACTTTGTGACGTGCAGCTGTCTCGGTTTGGAAGTGAGCATCGTGCTCTTTTCCTAAACTAAACCATTAAAGGTCAGAGAAGAAACTTGTTCCTAAGCCCTGTACTAATCAAATATATCCAAACCCTGAAGCTCAGAGTAACTTTACTCTCCTAAAGGAGGGATGAAAATTAATCTATAGATTTAAGAATCATGACTGTGTTTCCAAACACACAGGACCAAAAGGAGGGAGAATAAAGCAAAAACTTATAGTTTCTTTTCAATCCGTTTCCCACTCATCTAGCCAATATGCTTAGTGTCTGTATCAGAGGATGATTCTCCCTAATTTTACATCAGCATCATTTTACTTGATTCCATTTTGCTTCACATCAGCAAAGCACCATGCAGACCTATGACACGAAGTTATTCTAATAATACTGTCAAAAACTACTATTTTTTTGAATCCTCAGATTTTTTTACCTCACCTTCTAAATCTTCACTTTAGCACTCAGTTTTATTCTAAGGTTAGATTTCTTTCTTAGCTACATTGAGAGTGTAAGAATGAAAAACCCAGTGAGGTATTTAGACATAATAAGCCTGAGCACAAGAATTGGAAGAGAACACCCAACTTCTATAAGCAGCCAGAAATGAGTCCAAAGGGAAAACTCTAACACAGGCCACTGCAGATACTGAAATTAGAAGAGTACTTGCCCCCAGGAACTCTACCCGCACACCTGCCGAGTGGTGGGAACAACCACAGTTTCTGCACATATACACTCCTGCCTGATGGAAAAGGCCCCTGACAAACACCCACGTACCGAGGACGGCAGTTTCCTCGGGTCCCCGGGCTGCACCCGCCCTCTGAGGACTCCTGTTGCACGGAGGTGAGTTCACCTGCTGTTTATGGGGAGCGGCACAGAGGTAATTTTCCCCTTACCTCTATCAACAGCCATAAAACTGTCAGTGTAGTAGGAGAACTAAGAGCCACGAGGCTATCCAATTCCTTTTCTAAATTCTACCGACTCTTTTTATCTACTGCTAGAAAGAATTGCACTGATCGACAGCTTCTTTTTTGGTAACCTGCCTTTAGCGCGACTACTGTGCGTCTTTCCCGGCCCGTTCTCTCCTCCTCCGGCGGGGAGGCAGGCCGGGCGGGGGCCCCGACGGCACCTCCGCCCCGCCACGGCCGCCGGCACCTCGATCGGGCCCCTCCGGGTCCCGGTCCCGGCACCGGC